TATCCATCCATCCGTATTAAGCGCGACAGATAAAATCCAAGAAGATTAAATCCTCGAAAGATTTGATTCGTACGTAAAGCGGAGGCTCATTCCGCTTTCGATGCAGCGGGAACAGTACCATTAAGGGAGCTGAACAAACGGCAGAAGTACAGCAGACAAAACTTGAGCAGCAAGAACTACGTTACCGTGGAGGCTTCCGCTTTTTAACGGTCACTTTCGCGCCGTTGTAGACGTTCGGCCGTCCTAACACGAGATCCACGCGCCTGTTACCGCCTAATCGGAAGTTTATGCCTTCATCCGAGGGAATAAAGGGGCCCTGCTCCCCGACGCCGCGAAATATTCGCTGGTATGGAACATTTAACGTCGCTCGCGGTCCCTCGCGCCGCGCACCGTAACGCTACAGTAAAAACGACGATGCGCGGAGAGCGATAGCGAAGTGAATCGGCGAAAGAGAGACAGACCTCGGTGGAAGAGAGCCTCTCTCGTATTTGTGCTGTATACCCGAAACCGGTATATTCCCTGTGAAATTCACCTGGTTTATATTTTCTGTCGTTTCCGGTGCATCGCGTAATTTTCTCTCCCTTTCGCGCGCCTCGTTCTCTTTCGCTCTTACCAACGCGATCCTCGCTCGTCCTCTGCATACCCTCTCGTCCGCCATCCCGTGTCGTTCCATAGTACCTAGCTCCGGCATTTTTATGGGGATAATCCACCCACTCGCGGATACGGCACTGACACTTGTTTTATCCGTCGCTGAACGACGTTTCATGCTCTCCCGTGTCCTGCCACTTTTGATACGAGAAACGGGGTGAACACGGCGGGTGGGTGTACAGGGCTTGGGCATCGGGGTGGGTCATCGGTGACAGGGGTAGTGCGTAAACGATTTTTTATTTCGTCGCTTTTCCTCCGTGTACCAGTGTATCCCGATGAAGTCCTGCAGCTGCATCCGATGCGCCATGTAATCGTTTATTAATTGTCGCGGAATAGTCGAAAGGACGTTTGTGCGGGAATAGAAAGGACGGGAATGGTGACGCTTCGTTTTGGGAAACCGTCGATCGAGTGATCGCATGTGCCTCGTTCCGTTAATGTACTATAAAGCTGGCCGATTCAAGGCAAGGATCGATCGGTTTATAGCGGGATATCGTGTCGGCGTACGTCGTTAATCGGAATATGATAGCGGTTATTGTAAGGACGTGTTGTTCGAATGGATATACTTGTTGAATTAGTATTTTAGATAATAGAGGATCTTTATCGCTCGACAGCAGAGGAACGAATATTCATTTTTTGAAATCTTTATGTCTCGCAGAAGAAAATTTTATCGACGGATTATCCGACATGTACTACGATACTAAATTCACCCTTCCATTTACTCTTTTTCTTCTTCACTGCTATTTTACGATATAACTCTCGTACGTATCTGGTACATTTTTGCTTGACTAAAAATACGACGTTTTCCGTCTCGAAATTCCCCCATTCGATTTCCACGGAATTGTAAAGCATCGCGCGACAAGCTAGCAAAGAATTTCTTATCATCGTTTCTCCTGGTCGTATTCAGCGTTACCGGTGTAACGGCGGACTAAGGTGGATAATGCCCGGTCGGGAAGCAGATTCGCGAGAGGAGAATTTCCCTTCGTTCCAGCCGGGTATCCGAGAAAACTTTATTGTTGGCATATTTTTAAAAATTCACGATCGTCTCTAAGCCGTCGTTCCGCGGGCACTAAACGTTCCGCAAACGGCCACCGCGAATGTAATTTCTACTCGGCTTTAGCCGCATACTACTCGGCCCCGCCGAAACTTGAGGATATTTCACGGTTTTCGCGGGACGATCGAAACGGCACGTCGGAACGTTTATCGCGCGTTCTCCACCAACTTACACGGCTCAGGGTAAACGCGCACGAGTGCGCCCAACATTCGCGCCGGCTTCTAGTCGTTATCATCCCATAACGTTTCCTCCGTGAAATTGTCGAAAATATTTCGATAATACTTCTCATCTATTTCATTGAGAAGCTTCTTTCGTAGGCCAAATTGGCTGAAAACTTCACAAATTTTAGAAAATTTCAATTTCAATTAATAATTACTTAGGTTTCTGATTTATTTATCAGTAACATTATCACATTATTTTTTCATTTGTCGTAGTTTGGTTGAATAAAGGTTTGGCTTTAAGAAAGAAGAGAGAAATAATTGTAGCATCTTCTTTCTCATTTCTATTTCTCATTCATAATTTCTATTTCAACGTGATATTTCACGAAATATACATGTACGTACACGCTGAAAATATTTCTGGCATCCTGTTGCTTGTATCTTTTAACAGTTCAAGCGCTCCATTTTTCCGATTGTTCGGTAGACAAGAAAACGTTTAACCAGATTCAAATACCTGCCATCAACCAGCATCTTCGTGGCCCTGAATCATTTATCAATTCCAGGTCCGCGTCAGAAACGTTTGTCTAGACTCGTGACTTGTTTATGATGGCTGCCCTCGGTGCAGTTTCATTTCAGCTTCGCGCCTCATATGGACAGAGCAAATAACTTTTCTCGATAGTCGGAGTTCGCGCTCGCTTTCTCGAAGGAGAGTAAACAGCGTGCCGGAGAGGATGGAGAGAAAAAAAAATGAAGAAGCTCGTTCTCTCTTGCGTTCACAGTGGCGTAAGGGAAAAGCGGAAAGGAAAGAGCAGCAACAGCGGGTGGAAATTCATTCGTAATTCATGAGTATCGGGCCGAAGTCCCCGTCAAAACTTTGGATATTCGTCCGTCAAACGTTTCTCCCGTCAACTTTCCGAGTGTCTAAAGCCGCCTATCCCCTTGGTCCTCGTCCAGCTGACGGTTCTTCCCCGAGAAAATGATAACCTTGTTTTCGACCACTTTGCGCCCGCCTAGTCTCCACGTACGAGTTTCACGAACTACTCTCTACGATCCTCTTCTGCTCTCCTCTCTTTCTCTTTCTTTCGCGTATACCTGACGTAATCGCGTTACCTTCACCATTTTCTCTATCGCACCACATTTCTATTTCGTTCCAACTCGGTTTTTTCCCCAGGACGAAACGCGTCAGGATAACATCAAAATAGCTGTGCGTGACCGCTAATCCGCGACAGTTCGAGTATCACGTAGCCACCGCGTATTCGCGTCAATTTACTTCCACTTACTACGACTCGTCTTGTCGGGCTGGATTAAATTCTAACAATTCTGCCTCTGCCGCTGGCTATCCATCAATCGAAAAACTCTCATCCACGTCGAGAGCAGCGAAATATTATCCGGCCGAGTTATTCGAGAGAAAGCAACGATCTTGGACCGCGTGTCTTAAATAACAATCGAGTAAACGGCAAAAAGGAGCGAGGGGGGTGGAAGGGGGAACAAGTTTGAACGACGACAGCGCGAACGGTTTAGCCCCGGAGCTTCCATCCGAGACGAGCAACAGTAAAACACTCGGTTTCGTTCGCCCTCCCGCCGTTTCTCCAATGAAGATTCGAAGAAAAAGGCGGAGAAAATGTGCGCGTTTGCACACGAAGCGAGAACGAGATAGACGGGGCTCCAGGTATTCTCTCCATGGCGAAGAAGTCGAACGAAGCTGCCCAAGGCAGTCGTCGTTGTCTGTTCGCCGCGCTCTGTACTTACCGCGAAATGAATCAAGTCTCTGCTTCCAAGCCGGGCAGGTGCTTATTACTCACTCGTAGAGGCCACGGCACAGCCCTCTTTCCACCTCCGTACCAGCGTCCCTTGGCCCTTGTCTTCTTTCTTCTTCTAGTATCACTACTACTACTAATATCTCAGACTTCTTTGTCTTCCTCTTTCTTTCGCGTAGGTACATATATCGTTGCGCGGAGACCTCCCTCGCCCTCTGGCTTCACTTCGAAACTCCTCCCTTTATCGTTCGCGCCTCTCGAATGCCTCGGAAGCGGAGGAGATTGTAAACGTCGCGATTCGTACGATTATCCCGCATGAGAATAATGTTCCCAAGCTTTAGTTGCGCCAAGTTACCACGGAAATCATCCGTGTCCTCCGGTTCGAAGCTTCCGCCGATAGTTGCACCGACTTGCACATTTACCCTACACCCCTTATGAGACTAACTGTGCTTGTTATCTTTGATTCCGAACGAATGGTGTTGCTGAGTAATGGCGTTGCGTGAATTTTCAGTCGGCCAATTTATGAAGTTATCTAAGCATCAAGTTCATTAGACAGGGAAGTAAGTCGTATGTTTAAAATTTCTAACTACAATTTTATGCTTTGTATTTAAAAATAAGATAGTTGGTATACCATGTGTGGTTGGAAAATTGGATAGTGTGATGGTAAAAGAGCGAGAGACTTGATACTCGGCCCAGATTCGTTTCTACTTAATGAAAAATTCATAGTTGATGTATAATAAATTCGTACTTTCGTGAACATAATTTGAAAGGTAGAAGGTAAACAAGAATTTTATATAATAACAGATACCACATTTTGTGCATTTTTGCTCCTTGCAATCTATCATGAGTGGCCAAAAACCCGCAGTTCAGTAAGAAAGAAATATATTTCAATGATATATATCAATGAAATATATATCGTATCACGAAAGTTGAATGTATATCGCACGTATAAAACAGCATGTTTATGCGCGTGGACTTCACTTGCGTGAAATTTTGTAGCGAGGAGTTTGTCGTTTGCGAGGGTAGCGGAGGAACAACGAGGAAAACGGAACGAGGGAGAGATGAGGGACGCGCTTCTAATGGCGGTCATCTCGAATGCCCTAAGGCGGCTATTGTCTCGGTTTATGCCCTCCTTGCGCATACCAGCCCATATACAGGCCGGAAGACCTACAACATGACTACCTTCCCGTTTTCAAAGGGTGATCAGACGTTCACGGAACGCTTACGTGTACACACTTGGACGTCCGACTCGTACAACATCCCGCTGCCTTATATTCCCTTTAAGGCACTGCTTCGTTAGCTTAATGCCCGGTGATAATCATCGGTGGTTTGTTATATTTCGAAGGCTTCTCGAATGCTTTAACAACGCGTGATCCGACATCGCAGATGTCGTATTATATGTCTAGCGATTTTGATCCTCATGCTGCCTGTGAATCACGCGAGACATTCTTGTACTCGAACACATTGTTGCGTGGTAGACAATGTAGCTACGATGGAGATAACAATGTGGAGGAATGTTACGTCGATATTGGAGCCTGTAATTTTGTTAATTGCGCAGCTGCAGGGAAGTAGAGGGTAGGATATTCAATTCAGGGTGGATTACGTCACGAGCAGTTTGTAGAAAGATAGGTGGAATGATAGGAGATTCTTAATTAAGCAGCGAATACGGTACGTGTTATGATTAAACGTAGTTTTTCATTCAATCAATTCAATCAATTTTGTTGATTTTTTAATACGCTCCTATATCATGATCTCTGAACTTGTCGAGTAAGATAGGAATTTTCATCCCTAGCTTAAAAAATGTAATCTCGTAACATTCGAGTTATACACAATCGTGTTAATAATGTACTAGACAGCTGTATGGTAGGTGCATCTCCGTCGTAATTTTACTGACATAATAGTTATCCGTTTCAAACAAGTTTAAATTTGCTCCCCCTTACACAATAATGTATCAAATAACAATAATAGTAAACTGATAAGCTACAAGTTATGCAATCCTCTTTCGTGATTCTATAATCTTCTCTTACATACGATAATCAGATAATTCGCGGCTTGTAAAATTTTGCTAACAAAACCATCTCTAAGATAGCTAAACTGATATCGACGATAGTTAATGATAATATCCTAAAATTAAGATAAAATAACACATAAATTTTTATGATCTCACATCGTTTCTTTCTTACCAAAGATCCATCAAAGATTCGAACATGAAATATTTGCATATATAATAATAATAATAATAATGATAATAATAATAATAATAATAATAATAATGATAATAGTAATAATAATAATAATAGTAATAATAAGAGTAACGTCGTCGTACGTATAATTGTGAGACATTAGGATGAGAAATTGGGCTGAGAGAGACGAGGGTGCGCACGGTACGTAGAAGAGCCGAATCCGCCTGAGGGGACGATTTCGATCTCTTGAACTATCATCCGTGGTGCAACTATAATGCTGGTTTGTGTAGTACGTATCACGAGTTACCTGGTTGGGGTGCTTTCTATCGGCGATGTAGTCGCGCGTAATAACCGCGAACGGTTCGTTTCGTGGATCAGATTAGGAGAGACTCGGTACGTCCGCGTATTAGATCCTCCTGAGTGCGGTAGGCCGAGATTTTATCGTGGCGACGGTAAAGAGGAAGCCAACCCTCTCAGACCCTCGATCGGACACTTTCGACTGTCCTATAAAACGGCTCGATTAACTGCTTACACCTATGCCACAGGATAAGACAGATAATCTCGACATTCTCGCCGTTTCCTACTCGATTTCCTGTGGTTCCAAGGACGTTTTCGGGGTGTGTTCCAAGCTTTTTTATCCTTCAGTCACATTACTTGGGATTTGGTTGCGGGAACCGTGACTCGAGAACTTTCTTCTCGAGAGTTGGAAACTTGATCCCAGTCGTAAGAAAGTTGGAAGAAGTTAAATGTGGAAACTATGTATTTGAAATTTTGTTTATGATTTGAACTTTTGTTTGTTTATATTCTTTTAGTTGCCTGGCCGTACAAATAATCATACACAGTAGATATACATCGGTCGGATTCGCCTCATATTTTAATCCAGAAATTTTCTTCGACCAATGAATGTCTCGGAAGCTTCTCATCGCTATGTGTATCTGTTCATGCTCAAGATATTTGATAATTTAAATAAAATATTTACCACGTACCATCGATGATGATCAATTGCTGTTTACTTAATTTTTTACTAATATAACATTGCTACTACTCCTGAAATTAATGCTCCAACTATCAAGAGGAATTTCCTTTGCTTTGATAAATTTTTGGTGATAAAATGTTCTAAAGTAACGTAACTTTAAGCAAAGCTTTTCTTTAAATTCTTCTGTAGGATCTTAATTAGGATCTTAAATTTCTCTATAGGAATTAATGCCAACGTATAACTATTAATTTTCAACTCTTTAATACGGCTCTCATTTGAAACGGCGAAAACACAGAAATATAATATTCTTCCTCATTTGTAAGAAATGCAACCGTCACATCAGAGAGTGCATCGATAATTTCAGGTAGTTCAAACTTTGACGATGTCTAGGTATTCGCGTCAGACACGGACAGGCATTTTGTAGGGCAGTATTTCAATCGGTAGATAGTAGACGAAACGTATGGATAGGGTAAAGAATTAACCGGAACATCGTGAAAGTGCCGCGGGGCTTCACTTTGACAGCCGATCACCGCCGAAGGGTGAATGATACGAACAAACTCGCCCGGCATTATATTTCAATCACGTTTGTGCAGCCTTTGATTACTCGCGATTCGAGAGGCGACGCTAACTGAGAGACTAACGAACGATCTCTCTGATATTATTGATCGAGTTGTCTAACAATTTTACACGGCTTTCTGGCTTTCCCCTCATCCTTTTTTCGGATGCATCACTCACGCTTCATGGATTTTCATCGCGATGCAAATAATTTTTGCAAATTGCAAATCGAGTATATTCACTTCGTATAGATACCAATATTCTTTAGAAATATTCCTTTTATAAAAAATAATTGGTTAAAACAATAGTCGTATCCACAAGTTCTTTGTAACTCGTTAAACACGGCATGGTGCAATAGAATTTCCATTAGATAGGTACTAGTGATAACAGAATTTGTGTTGAGAATTTAAGAAGCACGACGTATCGTTGAAATGGAAAACTTTCGAATTTACTAGTATTTTACTCGAAATTCGTGACAATTGCATATGAAAGAAACGTAGAGGACAAGGATATCGATATAACAACGTAGAACTAAACCAGCATCGACTAGCCGTAAATTAAAATATCGTTCTTTCGCGTTTAATTTTGTATAATGCATCGTTTCGCAAGCGGTGCGATAAAACGCATAAAAACGCTGGTTGAATAAAATACGTTGCACGCGGAACATTTATCGGAAAGCTTCTTTAGATCCCCGGTGAATGGATTCGCCATGGAAAACTAGCATCTCTGGCGTTACAGTTCTCTACTCTTGATTTTTGCTAATTTACAGGTGAGAATGCTCGAGGAAGCGGGCCCGGCGAATGCAGCATTAAGGAGTAACCGGTCGACTTTTTTCTCCATCTCCATGGCATTTACCCGAGATAGCCGCGGAATCGACGGTTAAAAAAGCATTTCACGAAGCTGCAACCAACCAACCAACCAGCCAACCAGGCAAGCCAGCCGGTTTCGAATAAGAGGTAAGCCGATAGTCCTTCCTTTTCGTTGAAGGTGGAACAATAGGGTAGATTTTCCGAGATCTGTTTTACGTCTGCTCGCACCGAGGGTATGGCCCAGCATGGTAGCTCGGCCAGCCCCCGCGAATAAAATGAAGTAGAACGTTCCAACCGACCCCGTGTGTTTGCTTTTTGCTCGTAATAGCACCCACATCCACCTGTATCTCTTCATACATCCACTTTCATCGTTGTACTTGCTCCCGTAGAGATCAGAACGACGGCTTTTGACTGAACATTTTCGTAGTTAAATACCGCCTCTCCCCCCTCTCTCTCGCTCTCTCTCTCTCTCTCTCTTCCCCTCTCTTTGGCGTATACTCATTCCTAGTCCTTCCTCTTTATCTTCTACCCTTCCTTCGTTTTTTTTTTATTTTATCCTCTGTGTCTCCGCTTTCCTGTTTCTTCCGTCTCGTCTCTCTCCTTCCACATTCCCTCCACGTTGTTCCTACGGGATCGTCCCGCTTACGGACGCACTTGTACGCTCGCTAGAGTGCGGGGCAGGGGAAAAAAGCAAGATCCGTGAGTATAGATTCGGCATGGAGCACGCGAGCGAGTTTTTTAATCTTTCAATGGGCCTTCTACGCTCTGGAAATCTCTCTCTCTCTCTTCCCTGCCCCCTTTCCCTGCTGTTTCTCTGTTTCTGTTCTTCTCCCGCTTTACTCTCATACTTTTTTCCCTTGCTCTCGCTCTCTGTCTGCCATGGCAGCCTTCCTCTCCTTTCTCTCGATTCTGCAAACCCCTCTCGAAAGTTCGTCCCACTTCAACCCTAGCTGCGACCGCTCGGCTGCTTGTCTCTCGATATATTTACATATTTTCGTGATATTTCGCGACGTTAATCCCTGAGCCGGCCTCCGCCCCCCCCCCCGC